TTTCATGTCATTAGCACCTCTAGTAATACATTTACTGAGAAAAATGGTGACGTGTTCAATACTTATTTTACCCGCTGTATGTCTTTTCAGATGTGCTGTTGCCTGTTTGGTACTCTTGGCTGCTACACCAGCAATGAATATCTCATTTATTGGAATAACTTTAGACATAAGAAGTAAACATGTAACCATTCTTTATTCTTTTTTTTTTCTGTGTTATTGAGTCAAACAGTCAAAGAACCATACAAGAATCCTTGTATGAGGTGGGCTCATGGGTTTAAGTGGCTTTTTCTACTCAGAGGGTTTAAAACATCAACCACTGGGTACAAAATGGCAGTGACTGCGGCCCACAGGACCAGGCTTTGTCAGCACAAATGAAATAAAAAACACTAGATGCTGTATAGATTGTTGACTACCTGAATGTGGTTCCTGCAGGTGTTGCAGGCGGAGGTGGAGCTGAACAAWGGGAAGATGGAGGAAGTGAGAGCTTTAGCTCATGAGCTCATGTCCACCAGGGGGGAGAACTGCCAGGCCCAGGTGGGACCTAAAGTGGAGCAGCTCAACCTGAGATTTGACATCATCTCTCAGCGCATCGCCTCTGGACAGGTAGGGACCATTTTGTGAGTAGACTGTAGCAACTGAAGTCACTTCCTCTGGTCACTTGTGTGTGTGGCAGACGGCAGCGTCAGCCTGGGAGCTGGAGCRGTACCACAGTGACGTCCAGGTCTGGCTGGAGCTGCTGGAGGAGGAGGCCAAACAGGGGGAGAACCTGAAAGAAGAGGACTTCCAGGAGGACAAGGTTTCTCTTAATCTTTACAACAAACGCAGCTGTTTAAACTTGTCTCGTGTGTCGTTACAAACCAGGTGTGTGTGTGTGTGTGTGTGTGTAGAACTGTGAGGAAGGTGCTGTGAAGGAGTTACTGTTGAAAGGAGAGAATCTACAGAAGAGAGCGCCGGATCGTGACAAGCGAGAGCAGATAAGACTGAAGCACAACCAGCTCAACAGCAAGTACAACACTGTTAAGGTAACACACACATTAGCTGGACCATGTGTGACACTTTGATTTTGTAGTTTCTATGTTGTTCTGAACTATAAAAGAGATGAACTTGATGTTCTCTGGAACAGATGCTATGTGTATTAGCTGTGGAGCTAACACCATTTATATTAGTCAGCGATCACTAGTTAGACATGATCCAGCCATAAGAAAAATTTAAGCCCAACAGTTCTGACCAGATAAATGCCCAACATACCTCCTCTATGTTTAGACACATAAGAATGGACATTTATTGTTCTTTTGAGATTTGGGCAGATTACCGTATTTTTCGGACTATAAGCACCACCTGCTATTTTTTTTTAAAAACCCGCAAACCTTAACATATAAGCCGCACCGGACTATAAGCCGCACCCCCAACATAAAAAAACAGTACACCCAAAATTGTCGTCAAAAAAGTGAATTCAACATCAAAACATAAAAAGCAAACCTTTAGGAATTAAAGTTCGGAGGAATACGGTTCATTTAACTGACCTTATTTTGGTAGTTTCTGGTTTCTGGTCCAACAAAACGTCTCATTCATC